TAAACTCTCTGCTGCAGGAGACTCCGGGGCAGCCGCCTCCCCCCGGGGCAGCCCCGTCCTGTCCCCCCCCGTGTCCCCTTCCCGGTTTTTTCCTCTGCGCCCTTCTCTAGAAAGTCCTCTCCAACTCCAACAATTCCGTGATTCTGTGAAAATGGTGCTGACCCCCCCCGCCCCCCCCCCTCCCTTAGGGCCCAGCAGATCCCAGGAGCAATCAGGGAGCATTGTGTCCCCCCTGGGAGCTTGGAGGGTCCCTTTTATCCCTGCTCTGCTCTGGATGGGGAAACTGAGGCACGGAGCTGCTCCACGACCCAGCGATGGAGGCTCCCGTGCTGCAGTCTCCCGGCTGCCCTTGGAGTGGGGTGACACACGGTGGCCCTAAAAGTGAGGCCAGGTCCCAGCCAACGTCCCCCAGCCCCAGCTCTGGCTTGTGTGTGCCTTCAACCCCATGAGCACCACTCCTGCCTGGGAAGGTCACCCCCTTCCGGGTCCCCTGTGGCACCCCCGGGTCCCCAGCACAGCTGTGCGGACAGATGTGCTGTGGAAGCCCCGTCCTGTGTCTGGCAACGCTCCTCCCGAGGCTACAAAAGCTCTTTTGTGCCTCAGCAGCTCTGGGAAGCGGATGCCGAAGAGGAACAGGATGAGGTGAAGGTGTTTGGTGGTGGCCAGACCCTGCCGGGGGGCCCCCGTCCCAAAGCCCAGCTGAAATTGGGGTGCTCCAGAGAGCCACGGCCAACCCCTAAAGATACCCCAAGAAACATTTTTGCTCTCTTTGCAGTCCCTGCTCCCAACCCCCTCCTTGGGCACCACAAACTGATTTGGGGCCAGATCCCAGCAGTGGGAATCTGCAGCAGGAGTGAAGCATCAAGCTGAATTTTGGGTGCTCCTGCAACTGCCCTCGGCCACGTGCATCCCTCCAGGGACAAACCTCCCTCCCTGCGTGCCAGGACGAGCCCCCAGGGCCCAGCATCCTCCCAGCGCACCCCCCGAGGATGACTTTGCCCCCGGGGGCTTCTATCTCTTTGCATCTAATCCAATAACAACATCCTAATTGGTGGCGAAGCCGTGGCTATAGACACCGAGAGATTAATTCCCTTTGGACGTGAGATCCATGCAGGGCACAATTCAATCATGAAACTCGGGATTTATGGAGCTGGGGGCTGGGGTTTTGCACCCCTGTCCCAGCTGTTGTGGGTGCATTTTGCTGCTGGGTTTGTGCAGCTCCCTTCCCTTTCCCTCCCCGTGTAAAACAAGTGTGTCCCCTTCATGGGAAAAAAAAAAAAAAGGCAAAAAGCCTCGTGGCAATGAGGATTTTTTGGTCCAGGTCCCAGGTTTTAGGGTGGGAACCCCAGGAGCCGCCGGGTCGGAGCCAGTGACACCCGCGTGGCAAAACCGGAGGAAAATGGGTCCTTTGTGCGAGGAATATCTGGCGGGTGATTCAGCCGGGGCTGACGCCGGTGGCAGGGGCTGACGCGCTGCGTGGTGGCATGGGGGGAACCTGACATGTCTCCCCACCACCCGCCAAGACCATCTCTGGCTTCGTGGGCTGGGGGACGTGGCACAAAGCCTCGTGGCCGGTGACTCGTTGGGTTTGGGGTGGAGGTGAAGGGCTAAGCAGCCCCAAAACAGCCAGGAGCATCCTGTGCCCTGTGGAAAGAGGCAAGAGTGGCCGTGGAGGTACACCCCGAAACAGCCCCGGGCTGGGACCCCGCTATCGGGTGGTGGCAACGAGCTGCACCCCTTGCTTGAGTCTCTTAACCAGGCTGCTGCCGTCCGATGAGTTTTTGGGGGATATTCCACCCTGGGGCAAAGAAACAGCGACTTCAAGAAGCGGCTCATTGTCCTCGGGCGGCGCGGCCGGGGCTGGAGAGCCTGGCCCAGCTCCGGCCACCACAGCACGGGAACAAAAAGCCTCCTCTTCTCCAGCCCTCAGCGACCAGGCATCCCCGGCCGGCGCTGCCCCCGAAAAATTTATGGCATGAAGTTTGCAAACTGCGGAGAATCCCAGCGCTCGGCGGGCGGTGACCCCGGGGACACGGGGCCGTGAAGGCAGGCGTTGATCTGTGGGGATGCGGCGGCAGAGCCACCCGGGAGAATGGCAGAAATGAGGTTTTCTGACCCAAACCATGGGTTTGGGTGACACACGGTCAGATGGGGCTGGTGCTGCTGCCCCGTTCCCACCCAACCGGCCCCCCACAGGGGTCCCAGTCTGAGCCCCGGCAGCTCCAGCCCTGGGCCCGGCACGTAACCCAGTTAGTCTCAATAAGCATTTAAATCAAATTAGTTAAACTACATTAAACCCCTGCGAGGACACGGTTCAGAGTGGAAACGGCCTTAATGTGATTTCAGCTGACTTCCCTGCCACGATTTGCAAGTCAGAGAAATCGAATTAGGGCTGTTTTCATTCTGAACTCTGTCCACACAGGCCCGTAATGCAGTTTAATTAATCTACTTTAAAGTTGAGCCTGTCTTTCATTTGGGCAACTTCACCTGACTCACCCCAGAGAAGCAGAAGTCTCCCCCCCGGGGGTGGGTGGTGGGGCCGGGCTGGGACCCTGAGGCTCGGCTGTGGGTTTGAGGACGGAAAACACTGGTTTAGAGAAAACTGAGATTATCCCTAATCCCACCAGGGAATAATTCGGGGCCGAGCCCCAGACAGCAGCAGAACTCGGTTGCCCACAGCGGGGTCCCCAGTGCCCGCTGAGCTGGACCATCCTGGCTCTCTGCTGCCCGGGGTCCCAGCAGCCCCACGGGCACGGGGACCGGGGTTTTTCGCCTCTCCTCGATGGTTATCAGCACTTAACAAAGTTTCCTCCCGGGTGGAAGCGAGCAGCCAGCTGAAACCGGCTGCATTAGGCCCCGCGCCGCTCCCGGGGAGGCTGTAATGGCTGTAATTGCTGGCCACAGCTCCAAAGGGGCTGGGACTGGGCCAGGGAAGACTGTATCCCCCCCCCCTTCCCCAAAACCCACAGCCCCTTTATCTTCCCCCCCATCCTCCAGCTGTTCCCCATCCTCAGCCTCATCCCTTTCTTCTGGCTTCCACCAAGTTTGCAAAGCAAATGGGCTCCTCTGGGTCTCTGGCTCCAAAACACCACCCTGGGGGGGCTCTGGAGGGTACCCCGCTGTGTGGGGGTACCTCGTACGCTGCAAGAGGGGGTGTCTCTCCCCTCCTCCCCTCGCTCCCAACTCCCATTTCCTCTGCAAAGGTAAAATGGCATCTCCATAAAGGAGCTCCAATTAAAAGGGAGTTAATGACTTAATGAATCATAACAAAATCTGCTTGCATTAGCACGTGAACCACTGACCCTCTCTGGTTGTGGCTACCAGCTTTTTAATTGCCTACCTTTTTATTTCCTTCCCAGCAAATTGGCCGCTCGTTAAGTGTGTTGGGGGGGGGGGCAGAGGCAAGTAAAGCCCAGTCTGGAGGGGGTGAGCCCCCCTGCGCCCCATCCCACCCCCGCTCTGACCCGAATCCTGAGCCCCACCTCATTTCCCCTGATGAGGGGGATTCACGGTGCCGCAGAAAACTAAGACTTAAATTAAATTAGGACTTAATTATGAGCACCCCGAGCCACAAGAGCATCCTCCATCCTGGGTTGGTGCATCCCGGTGGTCCCCGACCGAGACCCCCGTGTCCCACCAGCCCCATCGCTGTCCCCAACCAAAATCCCACACGGGGACAAATCCTGCCCCCTCCCTCTGCAGCCCCCCCCACCCCGCCGCGGGGACAAAAGCACTTCAGTGTCCCCGGTCCGCCAGCACGGCCGTGCCCCCCGGCCCCTTCTGCCCCCCGGGGATGCGGGGGGGCGCCGCGATGCCCCCCATCCCTCTGGGAAGAG